CTTTCTCAGGGTGACCTTATAATTATGAAACGGTGCAAAAATCGATAAACTGTTCTAAAAAAGCTCAGAAAAATGCAGCTGCTACCAAAAAACGGAAACCTAAGTTATTCGTGGTGAGGAATCCGATTATGATGCTAGAAGAAATCGCTAATTATTGCTTCTTCTGAAAGTGCAAAATTTGAGGGTGACCTTATAATTATGAAACGCACTGTATAGGTTCTCGATTCTTCAGTTTGAGACCTAGGACTTACATCTTCAAAGGTCATGTTTCCTTCTCTGAAGCTATGATGTTCAGCCATTACATGACTCACCTTTCCCATGAAATCTTTTGGGAATAGAAATGAAAGTACGGCACAGGAACCCAGTTTTTATGGCAATTTGGCCTCGTCTGTCTCTCCCCGAAGAAGCGAAACGTAGCACTACCCCTTGTCCAGGCTCCTTTTATGATAAAACGGATTGGGGAGTTGTGTATACGAACAGGAACGCGACACAAGATTATGCCTCAAGAACTAACCAGTAAGTTGTCTGGGAGGTGCTGCGTCCAATGCATTTCACTCCACCGTAAGGGCAAGGTAAGAATCAGGATTCCAAATTGAATTTTGTTCCTGTCGTTCAGAAGACCCGAGCGTAGAAGGTCAGAGAAGGTCTCGAATATGGCTTGGAGCACCATTGCTGAATGGTGTACATACTAAACTTGGATATCATCGTGGTCACTCTGAGTAGGAGAGGTTCCCTTATCTCTACCTGACCTTCTACCATGACCTTTGCAAGCGAGGTACGGTACAAATTTCGTGCCAGACCTAAGACACCCATTTCACAGACCTCAACTCTCTCTGTCTCTGTCAGTATTTTAAAAGCTTTACTTGTCCAAGCGACTGTATGGCTGTTTGTCAGAGTCGATTTTGGCTTAGGTTTCAAGCCTTTTCCTCTTTCTTAGAGGTCTAGACGTAGCTACGTGTTGTTAAGACATTAAGTGCTCCGTCTGAGACCGAAGTTTTTGCCCATAACTTGCCATCCTTGTGAGAGTAGGCTGTTCGGCCATGACGTGAGCCCACGTAGCGATGGCGGTAAAGGCGGGGCCAGGTGAGAAGAAAACAACTTGTCGCAGAAGCGAAAATCTTTCTCTTATCGAAAGCCATCGATGTAATCCCCCTTGATACACGTCATTCCAATGAATCATTTCCAATCAGATAATCAGTTCTCCAGCGTGGCAGGCATCGTATCGGCTTTTCTTTTCTTATCCTGTATTTCTTGCTAAATGTCCCAAACAATCATCAATATTGTCTGGACCATCTTACAGTATCCATTTCTTATGTAGGAAACTTCACTTTTTATCTGTCTTCGACTGTGGCTTCCCATGTACATTTTTCAGTTTTCAGTCTAACAATCTCAAATTTCTCTTTGAGCCAGAATTCATTGAATTTGGGCCAGTACGAATTCAATTAGGTGAGGAGGTGTAGTGCCAAATGGCGCGCCATCGCACACATGGTCCGGAGACCGAATCAAGTATTGATACCCGACCAAACTTTCCACTCATCGGGGATGGTTGATGGCAACCGCAACTCATTCCATAGGCACGAAGCATTCAGATCGCCCCTACCATTTTAAATGGAAGTCGTATGCGGGGCGTATTCCAGCGAAGGTTGATCATTGCCTAAGGTACTTTATGTTTCATTCTTTATCCTTTATTTCCTTTATTCTTCAGTGGATCCAATCGGAAATTGTTTGAAGCTGAAAAAATAGTGAAATTCAGTACTAGCAAAAGATAGATATCGATCAGGAAAATTGTGAAGTACACTGACACGAATAATTTATGTACGTGGCTCTGTGGGAATTCGTGTAATCGTGAACTTGCCCGAAGGAAACTAGAAAGCGAAACCGATTAATCGGCAGTTGTGAAGTTTTTGCGTCGAGTTTCACGATTCTTCAGTTCTGGAACTTCTTAACCCTACGATTTTTCTTTCAATCGATACGTATTTGATGCTTGCAATGAATTTCACTTATTCAAGAGTCCTCAGTTCCACAATTGTACAACTTTTGGTAAGAACCTCATGTGGAGATCGGTCCGTGGGTGGATGGTGCAGCTATGCGACTCATAGTAATAGAACAAGTTTCGCTCACAGCGAACAATCTCGTTCCTCCGCGCTCATGGTCAGTCGCTTAAAATGTCTTTGTGGCGGCTAGATGGCTAAGACAATAGATTTGTGACTGGTAGAGATGTATTAGCTGATTTGCACATTCTAGACAAAGTAGAGAACAAATTGTCTAGAGGAGTAAATAGTCATAGGCATAGTGGAGTTTTGGCTCTGTATTGGACCGTCAGGAAAGCTAGTTTCCCCTGCTGCATTTTCTGCTGTCGGACTCACTGGAGGAGAAGAAAGGCAGATTTGATTTCTTGCTTTTACTTGTGAGTAGCAATTCGGATTCTCCACGCTTCC